CTCCTTCAGCCTTGGGGAAAGTCTTTTCAAGTTTAAAAAGTTTCTTCATCCAGATTAAAAATCGCTTCTGGGATTGTCAATAAGATCTCAGGAGTTATCTTTGAAAGGTTGAGGCAGAGAAGTAATCTTTTGTGCCGTCTGTCTGGATGTCCAGCCGACTCACAGTCAGGTCAGTTGGCACAGGGTGAAAGATGTTAAAATTCTTCCTTGTGTCTGACGTTGGTATCTCGTCAGCTGTGTGAGGTTAAAAGCTAGTCTTCGCAGCTCCAGCACTACTGGCACACATCCGCATGCCAGAGCATCGACTCCCTTCACAGAACCTCTATGGACAGCTGCCTGAGGTACACCGTAACCCTGGAGGACAATGCAAAAGGTACACAGACCAGCTGAGAGTGACGCTCCAAAAATGTAACATTCCTCCAAAGGATCTCGATACAATTGCATCCAACCGTAGTCTATAACGCTCCACCTGTACTGTACCCAGGGGGTCAAACCTCTCAAGAACAGGCGTAATAGGGCCAGATGTGCACGTATGGAAAGGAGATACAATCACCCTCCCAGAGACCTCCCACCCAACCCCTGAGCCCAATGTGTGATAGAGTCTGCGGGTCAAGGATCGGACTCCACAGCCACATCCAGTAGCACCGCCGACAACATCCCTAGTTCACCACTCACCATAATGAAGCAGAGTTGTCGTCGGCCACGATAGACAGCCATAAGGAAGTGAGGTGAAAGACGACACACACGGCAGCAGAATTATTACTCCAGCCAACACCACCTCATCACCTAACCGGAGACGCGCTGCTCTGATTTGCATTCTTATCTCTCGTGATGACAACCTGAATTGAAGTCTCACCTGAGGCGGACAATATTATGAAGCTTGGTCTTGGAAGATGACGACTGATGACACGGCTTTATGACACAACTCTGTACCCACACACAAAGTACACTGAGTTGTACATACACACAGGTGCGTGACACACCCGACCTGTTCTTAGAAAAGCTGGCCATTAATAATAACTGCAATTAAGCTACTACCTACTTGTTAAATGAACTTCAATGACGACTAAACTATGCAGAGACTTGACCGTATTTAAACCCTAAAATCCTTTAAAAACCCTTAAAGTAAAAAACCACTCTTAAATCTCCCTTAATCTGGTTATAAACCCCTCAAATATTACCCTTATCCGCCCTAAAAATCCCTTGAACTACCCTTCAAATCCCTCAATCTGGATTAAAAACTGAAATGTCTCACCATTAAAGTTAAAAACTTAAAAGTTAAAACATTCCACCATTAAACCTCATAAGGTTAAACAGTAAATGTCAGAGTTCGTAACAATAATAATAAAAAAAACTTGTGTCAGTGAATCTATTTTTTTTTCAATTAATATTGTAGCCAACATGAATCAGTTGAAAGGGTCCATTTGTTGCCTCACCCACCCACTGAGTGACTCAATGAATGACTTGCAGTAAAATTAATATATTCAGTTATTTAATCTCTCTCACTCCCTCTCTCCATTCCTCTTTCTTTCGTTACCTCGATTTCACTTGATATTTCTCCATTTCTTTCACACTTTCTTCCGATTTTTCTCCCTTCATTCACTTTGTCTCGTTCTTTCGTTTCGTTATTTCACTTTCTCTAGTTTCTCACTTATCATGTCTGCAAGAAAGAGAGAGAGAGAGAGAGAGAGAGAGAGAGAGAGAGAGAGAGAGCTCATCAGGTATACAGCTTTCGACCAATGCATCACGCCACTTTGCATAATAACCATCTGCCTGCAGGAAAACAACGGTAAAAATAACAGATAAGGCACAAAAACGGCTGAGAAACAACAGAGAACAGACACAAAGAGATAACAGAGATAATAGACACAGGGAGATAGAGACAACAGAGAGATAACAGAGGCAACAAAAACACAACAGAAGCAACAGAGAAACAACAGACACAACAGAGAGACAGCAACAGTAGTGAATCAACGACATAAAAAGTAGTGAAACAGCTATATGAAACTTCAAGCGGTGAAACGGCCCACTAAAAACAGCAATGAAACAGCAACATTAAACTCGAGACAAAACAGCCTACCAGTGATGGCCGGAGGAGAGGAGAGAGCCCTGGCGTGAGTGATGCAAGGTGGAGGAGACAAACGTTTACTCTGATATACGGAATAGAAACAATTTATTGTGATGTATTAGGTTAGAGTAACGTTTATGAGTGCCATTAATGAAAGGAGCAACGTTTATAAGTGTCATTTATCAAAGGAGGAACGTTTATGAGTGCCATTTATGAAAGGAGTAACGTTTATGAGTGAAATTTAAGTAAAAAAAACCGTTTATGTATGTCTAAAATTTAAATAAGTTGCAGCAAAAATTCAAAGACAAAAAATAATAATCTAAAAAATACAAATACAAAATCAGCCATTGGTTAAGAGATTCCCGCCACGAACACCCAAAATTAAATTAAGCTAAAGTTAATTCCTTTCAATTCATAATGCGACCTTTTATTTTCATTAAATTATAGATGAAAAAAAAACTAAAGCCTTTTGTAAATTCACTTAAAAAGAATAAATTATTACTAATTATATTTTTATTTATTGTTATTGGGTTAAATATCAGAGGAATAAATAATATTATAGCTGAATAAAAATGTGAAATAAATAAATACATTACCCATTACACAGACACCTCTTGAATACAAACTGATAAACTGACCAGAATAAGACCAAACAACACCAATCTAAAACAGTCTTAAACAGTCTGTCACCCCTCAACAGTCTGCATCACCAATCTGTGTCACCCCTTAAAAGTCTGTGCCAATCTAAAAGACAATACCATAAGTGTTTGTCGAGAGTTTGAAAAGTCACAAGTCAGAAATACATTTCCTCTCTTCTCGTGTGTCTTATTCAGCAGCACAAAGCCTTTGGCGTGATCTCTACCTTGTATTGGAAACTGTCTACAGGGGTATCCAGGCGGGGAGGAGGAGGGCGAAAGAAGGCGTCGGAGAAGGTGGGTGGGAAGGAGAAGGGAGGGAAGAGAGAAAGGGGAGGTCATGAAGGGAAAAAGGGAGGTCAGAAGGAAGGGAAAAAAGAAACGAGAGGAGAAAGGGAGCGGAGGAAGGGGGGGATAGAAGAAGAGGGGAGTAGAGAGGGTGAGAAGCGGAGAAGGAAGGGGAGAAGGAGCAAGGGAGAAAGAGAGATTAAAGACGAAACACAGAGGAGGAAGAGGTGAAGGAGGAAGACGGAGGAGGAAAAGAAGGAGGAGGCTTGAGGTCTGCCGACGTAATATTGCAAGTTGAAATTGCATGCACGAAAAATTCTGTATTATTCGAAGGGTCGTTTTGTTGCGCAGTGTTTTACGACCTTGAGAAGGCCTGGCTCATGGTATTAAAGAGAAAGAAAGAGAGAGAGAGAGAGAGAGGTCAGTGCCATATCAATAACCAATAAACTATGATCATTCTTTTGGAAAAAAAATCAATAAATGTGTCGTGGGATTCTCGCCAAGTCTGGGAGGTCGTGAGAAAGAAAAAAGCAAAAAGAAAGAAAAAAGAAGAAAGAAATGAAAGAACAAGAAGTCGGACTGCCATCTCCTCAGAACAATGTCACTTTCTCCGTTACCTACTCCACCCTCACCCTAACCTCGCTTTGATACGAAGATAAGTTACCCAGATCCCTTCACACACATATAAGATTAGATTAGATTCTTTGGGATATAGAGTTTAATTAATATCTATCATAGAGAAACTGTAAGATCACCTGAAGATTAGCCCTCCCAGCTTATTTCACCTGAAAATTAACCACCCTAAAGCTAACCTAACCTGACCCAATCTAACCTAACCTAACCTGACTTAACCAAGAAATTAATTTGATATCACTTAAACTCAGCAATTTTACTCTTCCTTTGACTCTGAAAATAAATAAATAAAACCCTTGAGAACTAAAGACTACACCTGCCGGCAAAAGGTGTGACATTATTTAATTATCTTTATTGACAGTAAAATATAATCCATCCTTTCAAGAGATTAAACTTTGCGATCACCTGAAAATCTCCCCCGCAGCTTATTTCACCCTCACCTAACCTAACCTAACCTAACCTGGAGTGAGAGGTGAGGGAGGAAGAGGGCGAGATGAGGAAGAAAGGGGATATGGTGCCCTACCTCGCTAGTCAACAAGAATAAGCAATCACCTGTACTCTCACCAGGTGGTAATGAAACGACGAGCAGGTGAACAACATCCGAGAGAGAGAGAGAGAGAGAGAGAGAGAGAGAGAGAGAGAGAGAGAAAGAGAGAGAAAGAGAGAGAGAAAGAAAGAGAGAGAGAGAGAGAGAGAGAGACCTCGTAATATATACTCTACACGCAACGTAAAAAAAAATAATAATCTAATTAGCGTTAAAGCCATTTTTCGTGAACGTTGTGGCAATTGTCAATATATTTAGTTCACAAAATCGTCAAAAAAAACAAACATCTAATCTACAAAGAGACTTACGTAAAAGATGCGATTGAAAGCACTCCCTCACTCGGAAAAAGTATCGTACACTCAATCAGGTTAGGCGGACACTCGGCCTCGCTAACGCTGCCAACGTGTGATACGAACTTAACACGTTAAGTAATTATTTATATTATTACCGAAATAATTTTCTTTTAACCTTTGAGTGTATAACGATTTCTTGAGTACGATGATTTAATCCCTTGAGTACGATGATTAAATCCCTTGAGTACGATGATTAAATCCCTTGAGTACGATGATTAAATCCCTTGAGTACGATGATTAATTCCCTTGAGTACGATGATTAAATCCCTTGAATACGATGATTAATTCCCTTGAGTACGATGATTAAATCCCTTGAGTACGATGATTAAATCCCTTGAGTACGATGATTAAATCCCTTGAGTACGATGATTAAATCCCTTGAGTACATTGCTGTAATCAGAGCTTAAGTCTCAGTAGACCTTACCTGTACAACCTACCGTAGAACCACCAAGGTGACCCAGGGCTCGTAATAAACTCACCTGGATTAACCTGAAAAAAAAAATAACAATCGTCATTACATAAATTAATCCAATGTATTTCAAATTAATTAAAAAATAATAATACACGAAGATTAAATATTGTATGTATGTATGTAATATACTGTATGCTCCTTTGTAATTACTGTACCAGATTTCACATTATGTTAAACTAAATATTATTATCTAAATGTATTTGTAATCAGACATCAAAAAAAACGGTTCTTCCCTTTACAAAATATTTTCCTATCATAGAAAACAGATTCTCGGTAAGCTTCATAATCCCTAACTTTAAAAATCTGGTGTCTGGTGGGAGGTTGGGTACATTTTACTTCTGGAAATGTCAAATGAGGTCCAATAAAATGTTTTCATTGCTGCGAATTACTTAATTTTTCCCCAATCAAATTGAAATCCTTCGCTGATAAACTCGTGTGTGTGTGTGTGTGTATGTGTGTGTGTGTGTGTGTGTGTGTGTGTGTGTGTGTGAAAAATGATTAATTAATATTATTTTTTACTTTGATCGAGTGTGCTTTACGGGGATAGGCGAGGGTAGGACTGGACAGGATTGATTAGGAATAATGATTGTGTTTGATTAAATCCGCGTTGCTTCGCAGAGTTAGATTCAGGAGGTTGAATCTGATAGGGGGAGGAGGAGGAGGGAGGAGGGGAAGGAAAAGACCACGACGAAGAGGAGGAGAAGGACGAAAATGAGAGAAGAAAAAGAAAAAGGAGATTGGGGAGGAGGGGGAACGAAGAAGAAGTAGAAAGAAGAAAACATGAACAAAAAAGAAGGAAAAAGAAAGCAAGCGAATGAATAGAAAGAAGGAAGAACAGAACAAATCAATCTACCTCTACTATACAGTGTCCCCCCCTCCCCCTCCCTCCCCCGTTTTATTTTACACAACTAACTCACTCATGGAAGGGGAGGGGAATGGAGGGGAGGGGAGGGTAAGCAGAGAAGGGTAGGAGTAGTGAGGAGAAGAGGGGAAGGTCGTGTGAGGGTGATAGAGAGGGGAAGGTCGTGTGAGGGTGATAGAGAAAGTAAATAAAGAACACAAGAAAATAAAATAGGAAAAAAAAAAGATGGATGTCCTTCATGTCAAAATAAAAACAAATAAAAGAATAACAAATAAATACAAAAATATATATAGAGAAAGCTGGCTTGACATGTGTACCAAAGAGAGAGAGAGAGAGAGAGAGAGAGAGAGAGAGAGAGAGAGAGAGTATTATTAATATTCAGAAAGTTAAACATCTGTATAACAACGTGTGTGTGTGTATATGTATGTGTTTGTATGTGCGTTTGTTTTAATGTAAACATGCATGGGAAAGGCATACAAATGAGCGTATTAAAATGAGTGTTTATTCGCTCCAATAACAGAGGGACATGAACACGTATTTACAATGGTAAGTAATTGTGTGTATGTGTACAAAAATACTTACGTGTATGAATTTATGTTTGTGCTTTCATACAGAATTTTCTCTCTCTCTCTCAGAACACACAGGTAGGCGGCTCCAATTAGTCCTCTGACTGTCCAGACGTTGGGATTATTGTCCAGTGAACACCTGTGAGGGAGGGGGGAGGGAGGTGGGGGGGAGGGAGGTGGGCAGAGGGGGTGGGGAGAGGAGGTGGGCGAGGGGAGGTGGGGGAGGGGAGGAGGGGGAGGGTAGAAGGTGGGTGAGGGAATGGAATGCAGTACGGTGAGGAAGGTAGGAATTTCTGGAATGGGGAAATGGAAGAAGAGAGTTGGGGTAGAAGACTGAGGGTAAGAATTAAGGAGAGGGGAGGGTAAGAGCCAAGAGGAGCAGGGTAAGTGGGGAGACGAAAATCAAGGGGGGGGAAGGGGAGGGGGAGTAATGGGGGGAGGGGGAGGGGCAGTACTGGGGGGAGGGGCAGTAATGGGGGGAGGGGCTGTAATGGGGGAGGGGGAGTAATGGGGGGAGGGGGAGGGGCAGTACTGGGGGGAGGGGCAGTAATGGGGGGAGGGGCTGTAATGGGGGAGGGGCAGTAATGGGGGGAGGAAGGACAAGAGTTAAGGCGTTAAATCAGTGTTCTATTGATTACCAAAGGCTCAAGAACCATCAACTCCACCTTCCCATTATTCCTCACACAGATACCACACGCCTCCCCATTACTCCCCTTACCAAACGCATAAATTTGGGGTCCATTGATGTCTAGGGCCGATTAGGAATGGGGCCTAGTGAATCTGGGGCCCATTTGACCATTCACTGCCCATTTACCGCCGATAATTTAGTAAACAAAGATGAGCTGATTTTTGTGAGGTCATCGTGATTTCTATAACGTAAACATAAATATATAACAAATTATTATCTACTCTATAATATAAGGACATAACCTTAATAAATCCATTAAGATATAATTCCTTAATATATTTTACCTGTATAATCTATAAAATGGATATATTTTATCTTAATCTATTCCATCAAGCTATATTGCCGCCTCCAGTTCCCACCCAAATCACCATCAGTTTCCCGCTAAATCACCAGCTGTTTCCCGCCAGATTACCAGCTGTTCAGACGTCCCCGCCAACCTCCAATCTTCCTCTTATCTCTGTGATATATGGCCGCAGCCGCTGAACATTATTATCTTATTATTTACCAACCTCACGACCTTCTATTTCCAACCTGTAACATATTTTCTTCACTCGGTATTAATATTTTTCTAGATTTTTTTTTTTCCTTCGCTCCATTTTTTCCCCTTAACATGTTTCACAGAGTTGTTTACCATTAGCACATTTGAAAAACGAATCACTGGGAGTTTTCATCATTCAAAACCTTTTTTTTTTTTAATTTGCAGGTTCACTCAGAGATCCGGAACTAATGAAGCTTCGAGTCTCCTTCCCTCCCTTTATCATCAGCTCTTCATTAACCCAACTCTTGACAATTAGGAGGAGTGTCTGTATCCCCTGGGACTCTCTCTTATTGTCTGTCTGGTAGTGTTAGCATCGTACCTCTACAACCTCTTAACCACCAGAGTCCTCGGCCCGGGTCAACAGAGTGTGTCCTCGGCCCGGGTCAACAGTGTGTGTCCTCGGCCCGGGTCAACAGAGTGTGTCCTCGGCCCGGGTCAACAGTGTGTGTCCTCGACCAGGGTCAACAGAGTGTGTCCTCGACCAGGGTCAACAGAGTGTGTCCTCGGCCCGAGTCAACAGAGTGTCAAACTGGGTGTCTTATGGCAATTAAACTTTGTGGCAGAGTCGAATCCATAGCAAACAGGGAGGGAGTGAGTAAGAGGGGATAAGAAAAAAGAAGAGTAAAGAGGAAGAGAGAAAGAGAAGAGAGAGAGAGAGAGAGAGTGTGTGTGTGTGTGTATGTGTGTGTGTGTGTGTTTAAACATATTTCTTCAAAAACAAACCCGGGCAATGCCATCAAGGATCCCAGCTAATTAAAAAGTAAAATGGACAATCACAGGTAAATTATCTTGACGCTACACACTTAATCAAAATATGTTAATTACCTGTGCCATAAGAATATACCATCAGTGATGACAGAGACTTGACCAAGACGTATCTCTGTCATCCCCGAAAGTTTACAGCCTCTCGGTATAGCAGCAGAAATGTTGTGAAAGTTTATTTGTCCAACCAAGAAATTGTAAAGAAGCTCTAACCCACCCCCCCCACGAGAGAGACCCAGGAGTCGTCTTCAAGCTCTGCCCCCACGAGACACATCCAGGGGTCGTCTTCAAGCTCTGCCCCCACGACACACACCCAGGGGTCGTCTTCAAGCTCAAGGTTCAAGAAAATCAGAAGGATGGAGCAGAGAGTCTTGGTCCTCCATTACTTCCTCTCCTGACCCCTGCTGCCTGACGGAGAGGAGGAGGAGGAGGAGGGCTGGCAGGGTGGACACTAAGAGGAGGAAGAGGGCTGGTGATGTGGGCTGGAGGAGGAGGAGTCGAGGAGAAGAAAGTGGTGGTGGAGGAGGGCATTAAGAAGCCTGAAAGAACGTCACCTTTAAGTGAGGCAAGTGGCACTCAATATTGAAGAAGAGCTTTATTTTATTCATGCCTTAGAACATCCCCTCCCCAGGGTGAGGGGGGGGTCTCCATGATCTCTCCTCTCTCCCTGCTGTCTCCTGATTGGTTCAACTGCTGCATCTAGACAGAAGACCTCACCTGTGCCTCCCCCCCCCCACCACCTGTCGGCCTCGAGAACAATCACTCAAAATTCGTGTTTTACCTCGACTCAATCAATCACTTTGTTTATGGGTGGGGGAAGAATCTTGACACTCCTGCCTCCCACAGAACCAGAAAACTAATAAGAGAAGGTTTACGAGTCAGATATAGATAAGTTTAACCTGGTCTGGCGAGGCGGCACACACACACACACACACACACACACACACTCTCTCTTGTACGTCGCTGAGTCAATAATGTATTTGGTCATCCGAGCTGACCTTGTGACCCAGACATGCTTAATGCGTTCTGAACTGACCCTATGAAACAAGAGCTGACCCTATGTGACCAAGATAAGTTCTGTATGACCCTGTATAACGTATATTGACCCTAAATAACCTGACCTGGCCTTGTAATCTACTCTGAGCTGACCCTATGGTGCTTCAATGGACCATATGTCATCAGCCAATCCTGTGTGAGCCGACGTAGCCCTGTGATCTGTGATTAGCTCCCTTGAAACCCGAAATGACTGTCTCTATATAGTCGACCCGGTGTAACAGAGGCAATATTATACTCGGTTATATCCTGGTGTAGCTAAATACCACCCCTAACCTAGCCTAACCTAGCCTAGCCTAACCTAACCTAACCTAGCCTAACCTAGCCTAACCTAGCCTAACCTAACCTAACCAAAAGTTCAATTGATCCCCCGGGTGATCTGGAGTGACCCTTTGTGACCTACATTGAGAGAGGGAGAGAGAGAGGTAGCAACTGAGCCAGACGAGGTCAACAACAACAATAAGCCTAGGTCAAAGGTCAAGAGTCATGTTATGGCTGGTTCGGCAAGTCGTGTGTAGATCAAAAGTGGAGGCAGCAGTGACCACGTA